CGATCTCGGCTCACCGCAACCTACGCCTCCTGGGTTCAGGCAATTCTCCTGCCTCAGCCTCCTAAGTAGCTGGGATACAGGCATGCACCACCATGCCCAGCTGATTTTTTGTATTTTTAGTAGAGACGGGGTTTCACCATGTTGACTAGGATGGTCTCAATCTCTTGACCTTGTGATCCACCTGACTCGGCCTCCCAAAGTGCTGGGATTACAGGCGTGAGCCACCGCGTCCGGCCCAGTATTTTTATTTTTTGAGACGGAGTCTCGCTCTGTCGCCCAGGCTGGAGTGCAGTAGTGTGATCTCAGCTCACTACAACCTCCACCTCCCGGTTCAAGTGATTCTCGTGCCTCAACCTCCCAAGTATCTGGGAACTATAGGCACCCACCACCACACCTGACTAAATTTTTTTTGAATTTTTTGTAGAGATGCGGCCAGGCTGGTCTTGAACTCCTGGCCTCAAGTGATCCACCAGCCTTGACCTCCCAAAATGCTGGGGTTACAGGCATGAGCCACCACATCCAGCCTAGTTTTCCTTTAAAAACCAATTATAGCCATCCTAGTGGGTGTGAAGTGATACCTGATTGTGGTTTTGACATTGACAATGAGCATCTTTTCATGTGCTTTTTGGCCATTTGTATGTCTTCTGTGGAGAAAAGTCTGAGCTCCCATGTCCATACAAAGGGTGTGGCCCCGACAATCAGAGAAGGAGCCTTCAGTGTTGAAATGAGAGGAGGTGTCAGGGAATGATCATCCAGTTAAATCTCTTCCAGAAACAAAGAAAAGGAGTTAAGATTCGGCCATCGTGGTGTCTCACGCATGTAATCCCAGCATTTTGGGAGGCCGAGGCAGGCGGATCACTTGAGGCCAGGAGTTCAAGACCAGCCTGACCAACATGGTGAAACCCCGTCTCTACTAAAAATACAAAAATTAGCTGGGCATGGGGCGCGCGCCTGGAATCCCGGCTACTAAGGAGGCTGAGGTGGGAGCATTGCTTGAGTGTGGGAGGCGGAGGTAGCAGTGAGCCGAGATTGCTCCATTGCACTCCAGCCTGGGTGACAGAGTGATACCCTGTCCAAAAAAAAAAAAAAAGAAAGAAAGAAGAAGAAGTCGATATGGGAGGTGAAAGGGTGGGGAGAGCAGAGCTTCAGGAGGAGGGGCCAGGCATGCGGAGAGGGGTGATCGCACCCTGCAGTGACCTTGGATTGGGCCCTCTCTCCGGCAGGGCGGCTGTGCTCATGGCTGGTTGTCCTTGGGCCAAGGCCAGCTCTCCCCTCACGCTTCTATCCCATATCCCAGACACTGAGGGCTGTGACCGCGGCTGGCACAAGTTCCAGGGCCACTGCTACCGCTATTTTGCCCACCGGAGGGCCTGGGAAGATGCAGAGAGGGACTGCCGCCGCCGTGCCGGCCACCTGACCAGCGTCCATTCACCGGAGGAGCACAGCTTCATTAACAGTAGGGGCTCGGGGCTCAGGGGCCACCCGCCTGGAGGGTGGGCAGGAGTGGCACTTGTAGCCCTTTTGCCAGGGTATCCCTCCCCTGGTTTTCAGGAGGCCACCTTTCCAAAGCTGTGTTCGTTCGTGCAAGCCCTGATTGCTTCTTAATTCGTGAAATCTGTCGATTCCCTTGTTAATTCATACATTCACTTCATTCATTCATTCACCAAATATTTACTGAGCACCTGCTATGTGCCAGGCACCATTCCAGGAACATTAACATGGCACAGCAGTGATCAGGGCTGACTTTGCTCTGTCCCCAGTGAGTGACCACTTCTTGGGGAGAATATAGACAAACAAGTAAATATCTAAGTAAATAAGTACTGTAATTCAACCAGTCCTGTGTGTGCTGATAACAAAACAGGGCCAGGAGACGGGGGGTGTTGGGGGAAGCACTTGTGATGTGTTGGATGAAATAAGGAATGAGCCTGGCAGAGACCCAGGAGAGAGACGGTGTTGCATTAATATAATCTGCCATTTGTTAATTTATTACCCCTCCGCCTTTTGCTCATCCACCCATTGATTTTGTGTGTCCCGTTGCTGCTATCCCATCCCTCGCTGACGCCTTCGTTTCCTCCTGCCCTGGTTTGTCTGTCTCTTTTTCCTTGACGTACCCCACCCGGCCACTCCCTCCTGAGCGACTGCGTGCGCCTTCTCGCCTGTCTGCCCGTCCAGTGTCCTCTGTTGTCCCTTGTCCTCTACTTCCCACTTCTGCAGAGATGGGACAGTGCCTGGCTTTATTCCTGCTTCTCCTGGCCACAAATCCTGGCATAGCCTGGGCCCAATTCCAGTTCTTCCTGTGCCTCACCTCCCTAAAAGAGGGTAGCCAGGGTCCCCGCCTGTGGAGGGTGGGGTGGGGATGCGCATCCCGCTTACATGGAGGCTGGGAGAAGGCTTCCTGCCCCGCCGCCCCCCTCCTTCCTCTCCCTCCTACCTCCCCATCCTTCCTCCCATTCCTCCCCCTCCTCCTCCCCCTCCTCCTTCCCCTCCTCCTTCCACTCATCTTCCTTTTCCTTTCTCCTCCCCGTCCTCCCTCTCCTCCTCATCCTACCTCCCCCTCCTCCCATGTCCCCTCCTCCCTCCTGCTCCCCCCTTCTACTCCTCCTTCCCCTTCCTCCCCCTTCCCTCCTGCTCTTCCTCTTCCACTCCTCCTCCTTTCTCCTCCCCATCCTCCCTCCCACTATTCTCCCTCCTCCCTGCAACTCCTCCCCTCCTCCCTCCATTCATTTCTCTTCCTTTCTCTTCCCCTTCCCTTCCTCCTCCCTCCAACTCCTTCCCTCTTCCTTCCACCCATCTTCCTCCTCCCGCYTCCTCCCCATCCTCTCTCCCCTCCTCCCCATCCTCCTCCCATTTCTCCCCCTCTCCCTCCTGCTCCTCCCCTCCTCCCTTCCATTCTTCCTCCCTCCTCCCCATCCCTCTTCCCACACCTGCCCCTCTTCCCTTTCACTCCTCCTCCTTTCTCCTTCCCCTCCTCCCCCTCCTTTCCCTCCTCCTTTCCCACTTTCCTTCTCCAGCTCTTACAGAGGCTGGGGGTGGGGGCTCTGTGTACTCCCTCACTTCTATAAATCTTCTGTCTCCTCTCCCTGCCTCAACCTCCAGCCCACTACAGGCTGGGGAAGGGGCTGGGCCTTCCCTTCCCATACACACCTCACCCCACACCCAGCCCATAGAGAGGCTGAGGGAGGGGCTCTGGGTCCTCCTCCATCCCTGTCCCCTCCTCTTCCCCCTTCATTCCCACCTTCTAGATCTTTCCCCCCACCCAGCCCACCTCCAGGCTGGGGAAGGCCAGGAATTCTTTTCCCCCACACCCTACCCCACCTCACCTGCAGCCGCACCCTGGGCCAGAGAGGCATGGGTAGACACTCAGACCCACAACCCCTGACCCTGCAGGCTTTGGGCACGAAAACACGTGGATTGGCCTGAATGACAGGATCGTGGAGAGGGATTTCCAGTGGACGGATAACACCGGGCTGGTGAGTGGCGGGGGCTGGGGGCCTAGGCTGCTGAGCCGCATCGGCCCTGCCCCCTGGCCTCAGTTTACCCTTTTGTGCAAAGTTATCACAAGTGGGCATCAAAGGTCTCCAGTAGCTCTAAGATGCTGGAGCTGGCAAAGGAGCATCAAGTGAAACCTAAACCTTCACCCCTGACTTCCCCAGCCCAGGTAAACAGACCACACCCACCCAGCTGCAGAGGCTGTAAACCTGAGACTAGGACCTGACGCCCCCCTCTTACTCACTCTGCCTGGTCCCCAAGCCATGGTCTCTCAAATATTCCAGCCTGGGTGATAGAACAAGACCCTGTCTCAAAAAAAATTGCCAGGTGCCATGGCTCACACCTGTAATCCCAGCACTTTGGGAAGCTGAGGCAAGTGGATCCTGAGGTCAGGAAATCGAGACCACCCTGGCCAACACAACAAAACTCTACTTAAAATACAAAAAATTAGCCGGGTGTGGTGGCGCACACCTACAGTCCCAGCTAGTCGGGAGGCTGAGGCAGGAGAATCGCTTGAACCCAGGAGGTGAAGGTTGCAGTGAGCCAAGATCACGCCATTGCACTCCAGCCTGGTGATAGAGCAAGACTCTGTCTCAAAAACAAACAAAAAATTATTGTTTCTAGGCCAGGCATGGTAGCCTGTGCTTGTAATCCCAGCACTTTAGGAGACTGAGTGAGGAGAATCACTTGAGCCCAGGAGTTCAAGGCTGCAGTGAGCTGTGATCACGTCACTGCACTGAAGCCTGCGTGACAGAGCGAGACCCTGTCTCTGAAAACGTGTCAGCTCAGCACCTTCCCTGCTTCACGCCCTCCCAGACTCTTCATTGTTCTCAAGATAAAAATTCCCCTCCTCCCGTTGTATAAAAATCTGGCAGTTCCTCACACAGTTAAACATAGAAGCTGGGCGCAGTGGTACGCGCCTGTGGTCTCAGATACTCAGGAAGCTGAGGCGGGAGGATCGCTTAAGCCTAGGAATTGGAATCCAGCCTGGGCAACACAGCAAGACCCTCGTCTCTAAAAATATACAAATAAAAATAAAAAGTTTAACATAGAGTTTCCATATGACCCAGCGATTCTACTTCTAGATACATACCCAGAAGAACTGAAAACAGAGATTCAAACTGGCTCAAGAATGTACGTTATTTGGGTCATGGATACACTAAAAGCCAAGACTCTGCCACTCGATAATATATGCATATAACAAAATTTCACTTCTATCCCTAAAATTTGCACAAAGAGGCCAGCCACAGTGGCTCACGCCTGTAATTTTAGCACTTTGGTTGGCCAAGGTGGGTGGATCACCTGAGGTCAGGAGTTCGAGACCAGCCTGGCCAACATTACGAAACCCCACCTCTACTAAAAATACAAAAATTAGCTGGGCGTGGTGGCGTGTACCTATAATCTCAGCTACTCAGGAGGCTGAGGCAGGAGAATTGCTTAAACCCAGGAGGCAGAGGTTGCAGTGAGCTGAGCTCTCACCACTGCACTCCAGCCTGGGCAACAGAGTGAGACTCCGTCTCAAAAAAAAAAAAAATTTATACTAAGAAAAAGAGGCGGGGTGTGGTGGCTCATGCCTGTAAATCCCAGCACTTTGAGGAGACCAAAGCAGAAGGATCACTGGAGCCCAGGAGGTCAAGGCTCCAGTGAGCTATGATTGCATCACTGCACTCCAGCCTGGGTGACAGAGCAAGACCCTGTCTCAAAAAAAAAAAATAAATAAAAACAACCGTGTACACGAATGTTCACAGCCTCACTATTGACAGTAGCCAAGGTGGAAACAGCCAAAATTGCCATCAACAGATGAATGAAGAGACAAAATGTGGTCCATCCATGCAACGGAATATTGCTCAGTCGTAAAGGAGAACTTGGCCAGGCGCCATGGTTCATGCCTGTAGTCCCAGCACTTTGGGAGGCTAAGGTGGGTGGATCGCTTGAGCCCTGGAGTTCGAGACCACCCTGGGCAACATGACGAAACCCCATCTCTACAAAAAATGCAGAAATTGAGACAGAGCGAGACTCCGGCTCAAAAATCAAATCAAATCAAATAATAAATAAAATGTGGATCGAGCCAAGCATAAAAGGCCACCTGTTGTACGATTTTTGTTTTTTTCATGAAGAGTTCAGAGTAGGCAGATTTGTGTTTGCCAGGGGCTAGGGGCCAGGAGAAGGGGGCGTCACTAGCCCTCAGTGGGTACAGAATTTTGGTGTGTCGTGATGAGAAAGTTCTGGAGATAATGGCGGTGGTTATGAAACATTGTGAATGTAATTAACGCATGAAACTGCACACCGCCTCTTGAACCCGGGAGGCGGAGCTTTCAGTGAGCCAAGATCACACCACTGCACCCCAGCCTGGGTAATGGAGTGAGACTGTGTCTCAAAAAAATGAAAATAAAAAACTACACACTTAAAAATGGTTAAAATCAGGAATTGTGTGCTATATATATTTTGCCACAATATCTAAAATGTCACGTCCTTTCCTCCAAGGCAAGAGCTAGTCCCCCTCCACGCTCTGCGCATACCCTGGTTCTACCAAGCCACTCCAGCCCCATGGGCGTTAGTCTGTTCCTCAAACAGAACAAGCTCAGTCCTGACTCTGAGCCTTTACACGGGTAGTTCCCTTTGCTAGGAATGCTGTTCCCTGTCTGAACCCTTACTACCTATTTTTTTTTTCTTTTGAGACAGAGTCTCACTCCATTACCCAGGCTGGAGTGCAGTGGTGCAGCCCAGCTCACTGCAACCTCTGCCTCCCAGGCTCAAGTGATTCTCATGTTTCAGCCTCCTGAGTAGGTTGGGACTACAGGCACGCACCATCATGCCCAGCTAATTTTTGTATTTTTATTAGAGACAAGGTTTCACCACGTTGTCCAAGCCGGTCCTGAACTCCTGGCCTCAGGTGATCTGCCCACTTTGGCTCTCAAAGTACTGGGATTGCAGATGTGAGCCACTGCACCTGGACTTGAATCCTTACAGTCTTTGATTCTTTAACTTTCACAATGCCTCCTCAGGGAAGTCCTCCTGGACTTCAGGCTGAGATCACCATTTCCCACCATTTATCTTTTTTTTTTTTTTTTGAGATGGAGTCTTGTCACCCAGGCTGGAATAGCATGATCTGGAGGTCACTACAACCTCCGCCTGCCAGGTTCAAGCAATTCTCCTGCCTCAGCCTCCCACATAGCTAGGATTATAAGTGCCCACTACCACGCCTGGCTAATTTTTTTATTTTATTTTTTAGTGGAGACAGGGTTTTACCATGTTGGCCAAGCAGGTTTCGAACCCCTGACCTCAGGTTATCCACCCACTTCGGCCTCCCAAAGTGCTGGGATTACAGGCATGAGCCACGGCGCCTAGCCTTGTCCCATCATTTATCCAACACTGATTCATGTTGAAAATGAACCAGGTGGGGTGGGTGAGACAGGACGAAGGAGACCCAGGGAGGGGATGCTGCAGCCTCCCAGCCAGAGGAGTGGTGACCTGGAGCACAGTGGCGGCCCCCCTCTGATGGGCAGGACAGTGGCCATTGTAGAGATGGGAACACTGAGTCCCTGTGAGTTTGAGGGGTCTGGCCAGGGCAGTCCCACAGCAGGAAGTTCCAGAACCTGGGCTGGGACAGAGGTCTCCTGACAGTGTACTCTCATGGCTACATTGCTAACGGGGGTACCCTTTGGCAGAAAGTAAAAAGAATTGCTTTGGGCAGGGCACGGTGGCTCACGCCTGTAATCCCAGCACTTTGGGAGGCTGGGGTGGGTGGATCATGAGGTCAGGAGATCCAGACCATGCTGGCCAACACGGTGAAACCCCATCCTACTAAAAATACAAAAGAATTAGCTGGTCATGTTGGCGCACGCCTGTAGTCCCAGCTTCTCGGGAGCCTGAGGCAGGAGAATTGCTTGAACCCAGGAGTCAGATTTGCAGTGACCCGAGATTGCGCCACTGCACTCCAGCCTGGGTGACAGTGCAAGACTCCATCTCAAAAACAAAAAAAAAGAATTGCTTTGCTGAGAGACTCTTTGTCCCACCCAGGACTAATTTTTCTTTGCGGCACCAAAAAGAGAAATTGTATACATAACAAACTCCCTGCCCCCTATTCCTGCAGCAATTTGAGAACTGGCGAGAGAACCAGCCAGACAATTTCTTCGCGGGTGGCGAGGACTGCGTGGTGATGGTGGCGCATGAAAGCGGGCACTGGAATGATGTCCCCTGCAACTACAATCTACCCTATGTCTGCAAGAAGGGCACAGGTATGCTGTGCGCGCCCCGCCCCCGCCTGGCTCCTGTTCCTCCCTGTCACTTTTGCTCACTGGTTCTCTGTTGCCCAGGCTGGGGTGCAGTGGCACAATCATGGCTCATCACAGCCTCCACCTCCTGGGCTCAAGTGATCCTCCTGCCTCAGCCTCCCGAGTAGCTGGGACTATAGGCATGCACCAACATACTCAACTAATTTTTGTATTTTTTGTAGAGATGAGGTTTTGCCATGTTGCCCAGGCTGGTCTCGAACTCCTGGGCTCAAGTGAGCTGCCCGCCTCAGCCTCTCAAAGTGCTGGGATTATATGCATAAGCCATTGTGCCCAGCCTGGATTCATCTTTTTATTTATTTTATTTTTATTTTTATTTTTATTTTTTTGGAGACAATTTTGCTCTTGTCGCCCAGGCTGGAGTGCAAGGGCGCAATCTCGGCTCACTTCAACCTCTCTCTCCCAGGTTCAAGCGATTCTCCCGCCTCAGCCCCCTGAGTAGCTGGGATTACAGGCGTCTGCCACCATGACCAACTAATTTTTATATTATTAGTAGAGACGGGGTTTCACCATGCTGGCCAGGCTGGTCTCGAATTGCTGACCTCAGGTGATCCACCTGCCTCAGCTTCCCAAAGGGCTGGGATTACAGGCATGAAACGCCGTGCCTGGACTTCATCTTTTTATCTAAGTTGGGAAATGTCAGCCCAGCCAGTTCTTACTTCCCATCACCGCGTGAGAATGCTTGTTTTCTGCCACCCTTGCCAGCTCTGCACATTCTCAGACTTTTGTTCTTTGTGCAGCTAAGTGGGGAAAAATAGTATCTCATGGTTATCTTAATTGGCATGCTTTTAAGGATGAGAATAACCAATTGTTTTTTCTGTTTGTTTGAGACGGAGTCTCACTGTGTCACCCAGGCTGCAGTGCAGTGGTGCGATCTTGGCCCACTGCAACCTCCGCCTCCCAGGTTCAAGCGATTCTCCTGCCTCAGCCTCCTGAGTAGCTGGAATTACAGGTGCACACCATGCCCAGCTAATTTTTTTTTTTTGTATTTTTAGCAGAGATGGGGTTTCACCATGTTGACCAGGCTGCTCTCGAACTCCTGACCTTAGTGATCTGCCCGCCTCCGAATCCCAAAATCATGGGGTTACAGGTGTGAGCCACGGTGCCTGGCCCAACCGCATATATGTTGACAGGCTGTTGGGATGCATTTCTTTCCCTGTGAACTGTCAATTTCATCTCTGCCCAGTTTTCTACTAACTTGTTGATCTCATTGATTTTTAAGAGCTCTTCACATATGAAAGAAATTATTTGTATACATTTTTACATCCACCTTTCTCTTATACTTTGGTTCATTTTTGCTTCCATTGCTTTGTCAATTTTCACATCCTTTCCTCCCCCTTATTTATTCATGTATTTAATTATTTTTGAAACAGGGTCTTGCTGTGTTGCCCAGGTTGCAGTCCGGTGGCATTACCACAGCTCACTGCACCTCACTTGAACTCCAGGGTTCAAGTGATCCTCCTACCTCAGTCTCCCCAGTAGCTGGGACTACAGGTGCACACCACCATGCCTGTGTTTCTTTTCTTTCTTTTTTGTTTTTTGAGGTGCAGACTTGCTCTTGTTGCCCAGGCTGGAGTGCAATGGTGTGATCTCGGCTCACTGCAATCTCCACCTCCCAGGTTCAAGCGATTCTCCTGCCTCAGCCTCCCAGGTAGCTGGGATTACAGGCACCTGCCACCTCGCCCAGCTAATTTTTGTAATTTAAGTAGAGGTGGGGTTTCACCATCTTGGCCAGGCTGGTCTCGAACTCTTGACCTCGTGATCCATCTGCCTCAGCCTCCCAAAGTGCTGAGATTACAGGCGTGAGCCTGTTTTATTTTTAAAATTTTTGGGGCCAGGCGCGGTGGCTCATGCCTGTAATCCCAGCACTTTGGGAGGCCGAGGCGGGCGGATCACTAGGTCAGGAGTTCAAGACCAGTCTGGCCAACATGGTGAAACCCCGTCTTTAAAAAAAAAATTTGCCGGGCACGGTGGCTCAAGCCTGTAATCCCAGCACTTTGGGAGGCCGAGGCGGGTGGATCACGAGGTCAAGAGATCGAGACCATCCTGTTCAACATGGTGAAACCCCGTCTCTACTAAAAATACAAAAAATTAGCTGGGCATGGTGGCGCGTGCCTGTAATCCCAGCTACTCAGGAGGTTGAGGCAGGAGAATTGCCTGAACCCAGGAGGCGGAGGTTGCGGTGAGCCGAGATCGCGCCATTGCACTCCAGCCTGGGTAACAAGAGCGAAACTCTGTCTCAAAAAAAAAAGAAAAAAAAAAAAAATTTTTTTTGGTAGAGTTTGAGACCAGCCTGGGCAACACAGCAAGACTCAAGGTTTTTGGGTCTTGGTCTCAAACTCCTGGACTGAAGCAATTCTTCTGCCTCAGCCTCCCAAAGTGCTGGCATTACAGGCGTGAGCTGCTGCACCCAGGCTTTTATTTGCTCAGATAATTATTCTTGCCTTCTGTCTCCTTCATTCCCACTGTGCCTTATGTTTGGTGTAAGAATTAGAAAGCAAGGTATGTCCAGGATGTTGCCGTCCCTAAGGAGCTGCTGATTCGGGTAGAAGAGACAGACAGGTGCAGTCACCTCCAGCCCTGTGAGATGAGAACTGGGCAGAGGCGGGGACCTGCTGGCGTGCTGAGTGGGGTATCATTCCCAATCAAACTCAAAACGAGTTTACGGCCACCAGGCATGGTGGCTCCTCCCTGTCATCCCAGCACTTTGGGAGGCCGAGGAGGGAGGATTGCTTGAGCCCATGAGTTCAAAACCGGCCCGGGCAACATAGTGGGACCTCATCTCTGCAAAAAATTTTAAAATTAGCTAGATATGGTGCTGTGCACTGGTAGTCTCAGCTACTTGAGGGGCTGAGGCGGGAAGATCCCTTGAGCCTGGGAGGTTGAGGCTGCAGTGAGTTGTGATGGTGCCCTCCAGACCCTCGTTCAAAAACAGCAATAAGAGCCGGGCCCCGTGGCTCACGCCCGTAATCCCAGCATTTTGCGAGGCTGAGGCAGGCAAATCACCTAAGGTCAGGAGTTCAAGACCAACCTGGCCAAGACGGTGAAGCCTGTCTATACTAAAAATATAAAAATTACCCGGAATGGTGATACATGCCTGTCATCTCAGCTCCTCAGAGGTTGAGGCAGGAGAATCACTTGAGTCTGGGAGGCAGAGGTTGCGGTGAGACGAGATTGAGCCACTGCTCTCCAGTCTGGGAGACAGAGTGAGACAGGCTTGGTGGCTCACACCTGTAATCCCAGCACTTTGGGAGTCCGAGGCGGGTGGATCACCAGATCAGGAGTTCAAGATCAGCCTGGCCAAAATGGTGAAGCCCCGTCTCTACTAAAAATACAAAAATTAGCCGGGCGTGGTGGCACGCGCCTGTAATTCCAGCTACTTGGGAGGCTGAGGCAGAGAACTGCTTAAACCTAGGAGGCGGAGGTTGCAGTGAGCCGAGATCGCGCCACTGCACTCCAGCCTGGGCAACAGAGCACGACTCCGTCTCAAACAACAACAGCAGAAACTAGTTTAGTCCCAGACGTGAGCACCTCTCTCACCAGAGATTCCTCTGTCCCAGTGCTCTGCGGTCCCCCTCCAGCAGTGGAGAATGCCTCACTCATCGGTGCCCGCAAGGCCAAGTACAATGTCCACGCCACTGTAAGGTACCAGTGCGATGAAGGATTTGCCCAGCACCATGTGGCCACCGTCCGATGCCGGAGCAATGGCAAGTGGGACAGGCCCCAGATTGTCTGCACCAAACGTAAGTACCTTCTCCCAGAGACCTCAACATAGGGTTTTGTTATTTCTAGTTTCCAGTTAAAGCATCCTATTACTCCACACATTGATCTGGCTTAATGTTTGCCTGATAATACAGCCTTGCAGATTAGTGAGAACTTACCAGTCTGTCTGGTGTTTCCTTCATGTGTGTATTTGTGTGTGTGTGTGTGTGTGTGTGTGTGTGTGTGTGTGTTTGAGATGGTGTCTTGCTCTGTCACCCAGGCTTGAGTACAGTGCTGTAATCTTGGCTCACTGCAACCTCCATCTCCCAAGTTCAAGTGATCCTCGTGCCTTAGCTTCCCAAGTAGCTGAGATCACAGGTGTCCACCACCACACCTGGCTAATTTTGTATTTTTAGTAGAGACAGTGTTTCACTGCGTTTGCCGGGATGGTCTCAAGTTCCTGACCTCAGGTGTTCCGCCCACCTCAGCCTCCCAAAGTGCTGGGATTACAGGCGTGAGCCACTGTGCCCAGCCTGGTTTTGTTTTTTTAGAGATAGGGTCTCTGTTGCCCAGGCTGAAGTGCAGAGGCTCAATCACAGCTCACTGTAGCCTCAACCTCCCAGCTCAAGGGATCCTCCCAACTCAGCCTCCCAAATAGCTAAGATTACAGGCATGTGCCACCACGCCTGGCTGATTTTTTGGATTTTTGTAGAGACAAGGTCTCACTATGTTGCCCAGGCTGGACTCGAACTCCTGGCTTCAAGAGATCCTCCCACTTTGGCCTTCCAAAGTGCTGGGATGACAGGCACGCGCCCTCGCGTCTGGCTTCTTTCCTCACTTTCCCGAGGAGGCTCGCTGCATCAGGCCACCTGCCTCTCACCACCTCTTGTCCCTCCCTGTCCTTCACTTCCCTGCAGCCAGACGTTCACACCGGATGCGGCGACACCATCACCACCACCAACGCCACCACCAGCATCACCACCACAAATCGCGCAAGGAGCGCAGAAAACACAAGAAACAGCCCACGGAGGACTGGGAGAAGGACGAAGGGAATTTCTGCTGAAGAACCAGGCTAGAGAAAGCACAACATTCTTCCCACACCTCCTCTGGAGCCTTCACCTGGGGAGACAGAACCCAGAGAGAAACGAGAGAGTCCAGAAGTCCCCGAACCCAAACCACATCCCCCCACGCATAATCCTTTGTACAAAGCTCCTCTTTCCCCCCTTTTTACGTACACAAGATCCTCTTGGCAGGTGGAGCCAGGTGTCTGAAAAGTCCATTCTCATCTGGCCGAACTCTGGGAGCATCTCCCAGCTGAAGGAAGCACAAGTGGCAAAGCTCATTGGTCTGGTCTCTTTTTTGCCAGGCTGACTGAAGCAGGCTTTGATGAGGGTGCATGAGTGTATGTTTGCATTCACACAAAGGAATTGCTTTTCACACCAGAGATTCAGACTCAGTCAATGTTGGCAGAATTCCTAAATCCAGGAAGAAGCCTGGACATAGGGTCATTAGCTTTGGGAATAGAAGGCTACACAGAAGCACACTGTTTTTGAACTTGACGACAACTCTCCCTTTACCCTGGACTTCAGCCCAAGTTCCGCCTTTGGTCTTGGTGGATAAACATGTATAGTGTGGAAATCCTATGTACTGCATTTTAGGGATGTCTTTCGAACAACCTCCCTCCATGCCTTCAGAGTTAAGAGTGAGAATAATCAAAGCAATATGTAGGTGATTAGGGAGAGTGTATTGCTAACCTTTCCAGGTCTAGTCCAGTGCTGAGATTTGGTGGTTCTGTGTGGGTGGTGAATCTCTTTCGCACAAATAAACAAGAGGATGTTTAGGGCTAGATGAGTCCAGATTTCTTCCCCCTCCATCTCTCAGGGAGACAAAGAACCTCCTTCCTGGATCAAGGAGGTGCTGCCAAGTTTTCTAGCCCAGTGCCCGTACCCAGTCCCAAGCAGACATTGGTAGTGCCCCTGCCCTGGGTCCCACCCCTTCCCCACCCCATTCTTGTCCTCAGCCATTGCCTGGTGGTCTAGAAACACTTAAAACTTGAAGTAGTGACACCTACCTGCAGTCATATTGTAGAGAGATGCTCAATTTTAAAACTGAAACACACACACACACACACATTTTTCTCTTGTAGATTTTAATTTTTTAAGTGGAAAAAAACTCACTTTGCCTTCCTCCCCAACATGTGCAACCTATAAAAGGTCTCTCCACACCAGAGGCCAGGATCCAGTTCCCTCGTCTCTGGCAGGAAAGATCCACAGTTTTCCTCCATGTCTCTTACCCACTTTCAACCTCTCCAGTCTGGGTAAAATCTGTGGATCAGGGTTAAAAACCACAGTGGAGAATAGCCCTCTGCAGGAAAGAAAAATAAGCAAATACATGGTCCACCTAGAGGTTCAGTAAAGAAAGAAATGTGTTAACTGGACCTGAATCTCTTCTGGGAAGTAATTATGACCATTGCCAACTAAGAGGTAGACACCGTGCTAAGGACTTACATACAACCTCCTTGAATCTTTTCAAGAGCCTATTGACTTCGAGACTGTGACATTCCCATTTTACACACAGTGAAACTGAGGCTCAGATATAAAGGAAAGGTACTGGCTTGAAATCACAGCCAAGACAGGAGTAAGAATTTGGAGTAAGAATTTGGTCCATACTCTGGCTCTCCCTACACTTTCTATCCATCATCAAATCCTACTCCAAATCTGGGAGTCAGAGCCAACTCCTGTCTTGGCTCTGACCCCAATCCTGGTCTGGACTCTGGAGAGCAGACTGACACATAATTGCACCCTCACACACATTTAGGAAATGGTTAAGAAGTGTAAACTGATCCCTTACATTTGTCTTCAATCTTCCTCGCTGTAGACATCTATCTTGTTATGATTATTCAGAAGGACCAGGGACATAGGTTTGTCTTCTTACTTTGATAACTCTTCTTAGTTTAAATTAGTAATAATAACACATCTTCAGCCATCCATGTCACACAGAAATTTTTCTTTGTTTGCGGGGGGCTGGGGATGCAATGTTTTCTGGGGGGTCTTTGTTTATGCTCCCTGCCCTCAAGCCCCTCAACCATTTGCCCTGCTCCCACCTCTGCTTCACGGTGGAGGGGGCTTTGGTCTTTCCTAATGTGGGCAGTTTGTCTTTTGACCTTTCCCTTTGGGATGTGCGTGTGTGTCTGCGTGTGCCACGTGCGTGGCATGCATATAAGTGTGTGCGTGTGAACGGCTTTGGGTCCTGCTGGTTTTGCTGTGAGCTGCAGTGTTCTGTGGGTCTGTGGCATCTGACACTGTGGACATTAATGTACTTCTTGGACATTTTAATAAATTTTTTAACAGTTCAGCCTGCCTGTCACCACCGGATACCTTCATTCATCCATTTATTCATTCATTCAGCAAGTATTTACTGAGCAGCTGTTATAATCCATGTACTGTGTTGGGTGCTCGGGAGACAGTGGTGAACAGGGCAGGCTTGATCCTTAGTGGGTGATCAGAGAAGGCTTCCCAGAGGAGGGGAATACAATCTTAAGGAGAAGTCGCATTAACTAAATGAGGAGGGGGGAAAAGGAAAGGCATTCCATGCAGAGGAAAGAGGGAAAGCAAAAGTCCTCTTGCAGAAGGGATCATGACTCATTTGAGAAACAGCAACGAGTCCACACTGAAGCAGAGCGGTAAAGGCAGAGACTGGAGGGAGATGAGGTCAGAGAGGCAGGAAATGGACCACGCAGGGTCATATGGGCCATCGTGAGGAATTTGGGATTTATTATAATCAATAGTGGCAAAACAAACAAATCACAACACCATTAAAAGGCAATGCCAGGCCCGGCATGGTGGCTCATGCCTGTAACCCCAGCACTTTGGAAGGCCGAGGCAGGCGGATCACCTGAGGTCAGGAGTTCGAAACCAGCCTGACCAACATGGAAAAACCCCATCTCTACTAAAAATAATAAATTGGCCTGGAGTGGTGGCGCATGCCTGTAATCCCAGCTACTTGGGAGGCTAAGGCAGGAGAATCACTTGAACCCAAGAGGTAGAGGTTGCGGTGAGCTGAGATCACGCCACTGCCTGGAAGTCAGAGCAAGACTCTGTCTCAAAAAAAAAAGAGAGACACTTGCATACATCAAAGATGATAATGTGCTTGAACTGTGAATAATTTACAATTTGCTCAACCACCTGCACCTAAGGTCAGAGTTGGCGGGGTGGGGGGATGTTCAACCCCACAAATAGAATCGCAAGCAACAACCACATTGAGATGCCACTTTTCACCTATCAGATTGACAAAAATAAAATGAGTCTGGTGAGGATGTGCGGAAAAGGTGAGTACTTTTTTTTTTTTTTTTTGAGATGGAGTCTCACTCTGTCACCCAGGCTAAAGTGCAATGGTGTGATCACAGCTCACTGCAACCTCCGCCTCCTGGGTTCAAATGATTCTTTTGCCTCAGCCTCCTGAGTAGCCAGGATTACAGGTGCACACCACCATTCTGGGCTAATTTTTCTATTTTTAGCAGAGACGGGGTTTTGCCATGTTGGCCAGGCTGGTCTTGAACTCCCGACTGGTGATCCACCTGCCTTGGCCTCCCAAAGTGCTGGGATTACAGGTGTGAGCCACCGTGCCTGGCCAGGTGAGTACATCTATTACTTGTGGAGTATAAATTGGCCCAATCTCTAAGGAAACGTGGAAATCAATGAAAATGGCAAGTGTTAGGCTGGGTGCGGTGGCTCGTGCCTTTCATACCAGCACGTTGGGAGGCCAAGGCGGGTAGATCACCTGAGGTCAGGCATTCCAGACCAACCTGGCCAATATGGTGAAACCCCGCCTCTACCAAAAATGCAAAAATTAGTTGGGCATGGTGGTGCACGCCTGTAATCCCAGCTACTTGTGAGGCTGAGACAGGAGAATCGCTTGAACCCAGATGGCGGAGGTTGCAGAGCCAAGATGGCACCACTGCACTCCAGCCTAGGCAACAAGAGTGAAACTCCATCTCAAAAAATAAAAATAAAAATAAAACGGGGAGTTTTGATTCCTTGAGCAAACAATTTCTGATATCTTCCAATCATACATGAACTTGCAAGCGATGATGTGGTACTTACTGCTAACAGACAAATATTGAGAACAATATAAATATCCACCATTAGGAATCTTACTACACAATTATGGCGCATCCAAATAATCGATCCTCTTCAGACTGTCAAAAGAATAGGGAAGAGGAGGCCGGGTGCACTGGCTCATGCCTGTAATCCTAGCACTTTGGGAGGCTGAGGCGGGTGGGTCACCTGAGGTTGGGAGTTCAAGTCCAGCCTGACCAACATGGAGGAAATCCTGTCTCTACTAAAAATACAAAATTAGCTGGGTGTCGTTGCAGGCTCCTGTAATCCCAACTACTCAGCAGGCTGAGGCAGGAGAATTGCTTGAATCCGGGAGGCAGAGGTGGTGGTGAGCCGAGATCAAAACAAAAATAAAAGACCCCCAACCGTGTTGTGTAACATCTTATCCACCAAAGCACATTTATAAAGGAATTACTCGCTGGCTGCCTCATTTCCTCATTCATCAAAAGAAACAAAGATTTATTGAGCCCCTACTGTATGCTTGGCACTCTCGGGGACCACAGAACAGCCCTGGTACAGCGGGAGAACACAGGTTCAGAAGGATTTTGTCACTTGGTCACACAGTGAGCAAGAAGAGGCAGGATTCAAACCCAAACCCACCTGGTCCCAAAACTCAGAGATGGATTTCCTAGAGATGACGTGACTATAAAGAAGGCCCCAGGGGAGACCCCAGTACTCCTGCAGGCAAGACCTTGGGACTGGGGTCTCCCATGGCCAGGGTGGCCTTGTCCATGGATCATGTCCCTGAGCTGCCCATCAACCCCGGGGAGTTTGGCTGGGTTCTGACCTAGCACAGATTGCCACGTAGAACCTGGTGGGTGTTGAAGTTGAAAGAACATTCCATCCCTCCTGGATCTCTAAGGAGGGAAATGTGGGTGGGGGTCAGGGAAGGAGAGGGGAACTCGGTGAGAATGGAGATGGGGTCTCAGAGGACAAATGAGGAGCTCAGTGCTTGCATATATCTCAAAGGGCCAGGGCACGCCATAGCCTCGGTTTCCTCATCTGCAGGACGGTGACAAACATGCCTGGATGTTGCAACATTGTCTCGTGCACAGCTGCTATCCAGCATAGAGTTAACGTGCAAACAGAAGGTGGCTTAGCAGCTCCAGAAGTCCAGCCCTGTCTGGGGAAGGGGCAGCCATCAGGTCCCTGATGGGGTGCAGTAGGGTAGCCCCAGTAGGAGGCACCCGGGACATCTGGCCCACAATGAGAAGTTCCTGAGAGCTGGAAGTTTGGTTGTCATGGAGACGACACTGACAGTCTCTATGGTGACAGCTTGGTGAGCAGGGCCCCGTTGTCGACAAGGAAAACCCTAGGGGGACAGGTGTTCTGTTACCTCGGACACCAGAGTTTGGTTTCCATGGCAACGGTGGTGGGGTCCAAACTCCCCAGGGGGGGAGCTTGGAGGGCAGCCTTGAACTGGAGTGGGACTGGAGACACGGACAGTTTGTTTCCATGGTGAGAGCCAGAGAACTGGAGGTTGGGTCACTCTGGGGACAGCTTCGGGGAGGGTGATCTCCATGGCCGTGGGTCAGGGTAGGGACAGCCAGAAGTCGAGGTGTAGGGCTCCAGGGTGGGGGCCAGTGAGAGGAGAAACGTGTGGTATCCATGGTTACAGTGGGAGGAGGGAGGCACAGTCTTCATGGGTGTGACTAATGAAGGAAGGGGTGTGTGACTCTAGGTGACAGGTAGCAGCAGGACTAGTTGCCTTGGTAACAGTGGGACCCAGGGCAGCTGCTCTCCAAAACGAGCGACATGGACCTCCAGATCCCCAGGCCTGGGGAGACGGTCTCTTTGGTGACAGTCCAGGAAGGGGGCGTCTGGGGACAGGGCCGGTTTGCTCTCCCTTCAAAGAAATACCTGAGGGGTGGGACATGGCCCCCAGTCAGTGAGCCAGCTGGCTGCGTGTCAGTCTGAGGTGGCAGATGGAGGTGCTCTCCCATGAAACTAGAAGGGTGTGCCCTGTTACCTGGAAATTTCAGGGGATTCTCAGGGAGAGGGGCAGAATGGAAGTCTCCAGTACTCAGATCACCAAAGGGGAAAATAAGTGCCTCGGCTCACAACCTCCATGTGACCACGCGGAGTGACCCCGAAACTCCTGTAGTCTCTCCAGGTGACGAGGAGGAGGGGGCCCAGTGTCCACGTGACCGCAAGGGACTAGTGTGCAGTCTCCAGTGAGATGCAAAGGGTGTGAGGCCAGTCTCCAGTCAATCCCGGGGTCCAGCCACCAGGCGACCACGAGGGCGGTTTGTCTGTTTCCAAGTGGCCTCGGGAGGCGTGGCCAGTCTTCAGGAGACTGCGGCTCTGCTGGCCTCTGAGGTCCTCAGTGGGCGTGGCCCTTATGGAGAAAGTCGGGGAGTGGGGAAAATCCTCTGTCCAGAAAAGGTGAGGGCTGGGCTCCAGGGAACTCCAAAGTACTGTTCTGCCGGATTAGCCAGTCTCCAGGAACCCCAGGGGCACAGTTAGTTTGTAAGGGACCACAGGTTATGTGGTCAGTGTCCAGAGCTTCAGGGGCGTGGCCAGCCTCCAGGGGACGGCCGGGCTCCAGACCAGTGGTCATGCGCCCTGGCCGTCCGCCTGCTCCCAGCCTAGACGCGCAGCGGGGTCCAGGCAGCAGGGTCGCGCGCACCCCCCGCCCAGCCGCCGCCCCCCGCCCAGCCCCAGCCCCAGCCGCCGGGTGCTGGGTCCGGTGCGCCGGGCGCGCGGTAGCAGTAGACGCCGAAGAGCCGTCGGGTGGCGTCCGGGAAGCCCAGGCTGCGCACGCCAGGCCAGCGGCCTCCGCAGCGCGCGCGCGGGTTCACGATGGGGTAGCGCGCGCTGCCATCGGCCAGCCAGCCCGCGGTGCAGCGGTCCAGCAGCTGCAGCTTCCATGCGGCAAACAGCTGCCCCACCTTGGCCACGGCCGCGCCACGCGCAGCACACGCGCGCGCAGCTCCGGAGAAGGGTACCGGCCGCAGCGGCTTCAGGAAGAACACGCGCCCTGCGAGGGTGGGATGGGAGACGGGTTATTAGTGAGGCTCCTGGGACCCGGCCTCAGGATTCAGGACTGCGCCCCCGCATGCAACCCAGGACTCTGGCCTTGGCCTCGGAATCCATGGACAGTTCCTCCTCTGCAGCCTGGGACCGCAGACTAGGCCCAACCAGTGTCGGTGCCAGGCGGTGTGCGCTGCGCCTAGACACTCTTGGGAGAGGGATCTCCTGTTTCTGATCGCTAAGAGCTGGGTGGGGAGGAAGG